ATTGTATCTGTGTAAGAGTAGAGAACCGCAATGCAAATGTTCCATCTCAAAAAGACTACTGAGAGCTCCAGTGATTGACTGGATCCTTTTAAATGATAAGGGAAAGATCTAAGCTTTCAAAACTACAGAGTCACACTCTTGGCAGTGGTCCAGCCCTTGAAAGCAGCCTCTGAAGAGTATGAACACCTTTGCAACTAAGAAGTGGACATATATCAACTATATGCCACTACAGTTTGAGTTGCAATCAAAATGTTTGTTCTAAGACTTCAACTTTTTTCTGCAGTACCTACTGTATGTTGTGGAAACAACATTCAGAAATACTATTTTTATCTGTGCAAAAAAACCCCAACAGATTCTGTCATATGGGGGTGAGGAGTTAAAAACTATATATATATAAAAAAATACAGTACTGCTCCAGAATACTCTCTAATTTCAGTGCTGAAGTAATATACAGTACTCTTGAGCCTGAAGTACAACACTTTCTTTTCCTGTTTAACTAGTTTCTCTTCCAGATAATTCTAGTGTGCAACTACTGATTCTTAGAAAAAATAAACATAAAACACTTAATTATATGTTTCATTGAATATGACATGGATTAAAAACAACAAAATAAATGCTTCTTTTTATGTAGCCCATGTTACAATAACTGACTCTTCAATTAAATATAAATGACTAATTGGGTTCCCAAATTGATTTTTCCATTCCGGTAGAAATCCTCATTCAAAGCACATATACTGTACATATTGATGGCTTCATATACTTCATATTGATGATAATAAACATGGGCTTAAAAGGGTAATAGGAAAAAAGAGGAAAGAAAACACAACGTTTCAGCTGTGGAGCCTTTTTCAGGTGTTAATAGGATAATAGCAACTTTTATGTGACATATAACAATATACATTACAGGGAATATTTATCATACAAAAACAGTATATTATAACAAACATACATTTATATTTACACATACCAATTTCATTTCAATTATTAAAATTTAAAAACTTTAAAGAAGTTCTGATCAATCTTTAGCTAACATTCCAATGAATATATACTCTCACTATTTGCATTTAGCTTTAATTACACTTTGCGGTTAAAGTGGTCAATTGTGAATTATTGGGCTGTGTTGAAACCAGCTTGATGAAACCACCAAATTTTCAATTACTATATATACATAGATATTATACCAGACAGTACTTAATTATTAAATAACATTAACTGGGCTGTAGCCAGTTTCCATTAAGCACTTCAGCCAAGCCAGTCAGCATTCCCATATTTCTTAATGTATCCGGTAGTTTCAAGTGTCCCCTCTCTTTTTGGATGGAGCTCAGAATTGAAGGTCACTTTTTAGAATGTTATAATAGTGTTGTAAATCTTTTAAGAAATGTCCTGAAGCATTTTAAAACCCATGGTGATTATGAATAGAGTGAGAAGACTAAATATTTTACCAAACTGGATTTTTCACTGTGTTTTTTGTCTCTGTGTATTTGTTCAGCTAACAAAAGAGGTTAAAATATTAGAATTGCCATTGGAGGAAGTCTCATTTATGGGTAACTGTGGGCATCAGCCATTCGGTTTACTTGTGAAATCTGTCTTGATTGCTTTCATACTGCTTGAATTTGAAGGGGGAGAAAGTTCTCCTCAATCAAGCCAAGAACCTTTTCAGGGGAATCATAGTTCCTTCATTTGGAAGGCACTCTGATCCAAACCCTGATTTCCGAACTGCCAAAATGAGCTGGACTTGGGTGTCAAATGAACTAAAATGTGGATTAATTTGGATTATGCTCTCCAAATTAACTAGTGTGAAAGAGAATGGAATTTATCTTTATTAGATGACCACATTTTCTTTCTCAAGCAATGGTTATCTCCTTCACATAATTAGCGGACACAAGTAACACACTGTTTACTCTGCAATCATGAGTTTCTAATTTGTTAATTTACCTGATATCAGATATTTGATATCAGATATATCATGTGGGACTACAGAATAGTTAATAGCCATAAATATGTTTCATTTACAGTATATGGACCCAGGGTAGTAGGGAATAAGCTTCTTTAAACTCCACCCTAAGTTCTTGATGGGGGAAAGCATGGCAGTATTCAAGAATTTTGAGAGCCTCCGTTCCCTTCTTTCAGTGGAAAAATGGGGACTCTACATTTATTCTAAACACACTGAAATATGTTTGAATATTGTAAAAACAACTGAGTGACACTGTATGTTATTTGAACACAGCAAGACTATTTCCAGAGACTAAGTTTTAAAATAAGTGTTAAAATATGTTCTCAAGGAGCAGCACCTTAGCCCTACACTCATCCTTTCAATTTCTTTTGAACAAAGAAAAATCTAAGCAGCACATTATTGCTGATCTAGTCTTTTTTGTTAATTAGGAAATGGATTTCAGTCTATCAAAAACCAATTTCATATAGGTCTAAAGCAAAAGGGACAGGATGTAACTTTGAACCTAAAAGAGATCTATTCTTCCTTTCTTTTCAGATTTTGCATATCATTACAATGACATGGAAAAGGTTGAATATTGCTCATAAAACAGATAATGAGTAACTTTAAACAGTGTTGTTTGTTAGAAATGTGATATTTTCATAGTAACTATGATATTAAAAAGACACTAATTGGAATAAATATTCACCTGGATAAGAGGAACTTTTATTATATATATTAAATTATATATATAATATTATATATAAATAGAACACATACAGTATCAGTATAATCTAAAACCATGTTTCTATATTCTGACTGTAACTGTGATACAGTATATTTTATGGACTGAACTTAAACACTGCTGCTTAAAAAATGCCTAGGGTCTCCAGTTGCTTCAATTTAAGACTCATTTAAAGATAATCCAGGTTTACTAATATCTAATGACTA